AAGTTAAAAATGAAAGTTCTCTGTTGCCAGGAAGAACAGACTAAATGATGCTTCCCAGAGGTTTTGAAAACACTCACTTCTCATCCCTGAAGGAATAAAACAATAAAAGATAAACTTTTGCTTAAAAAGTGGCATGCTTGAAGTATAGCAACTCAGTTACAGAAGATTTTATTGCTCACTCTTGTTCTTAAACACAGTATCTTCTAAAATGCTGGGATTTTGATGGTGAGGAAAGTACAAGTGTCTTGTTCTATTTTTAAAACTCCCTTAAAATTTCTTAAATTGTTTTCTTACCAGGATTTTTTATTTTCAGAGACATCATCCTCAAGACTATCAGGTCACAAATATCTCTTCTCATGGTAGAAGCAAAGACTTCTTGTATGAGATGAAAAACTGTAACCATGCTCAATTTACCACCACAGCCTAAATACCTAATCATACAAAGTAAACTTTACAAAAAGGCCTAAACCTTTACCTTTCTTGGGGTAAGGGTGGCAGTTTTGATGCTGGGCATCAGGGTCTCCAGGTGCAAAAAAGTTCCATGTCTTTGGTTTTTTCAGTCACTAGTTAGGTTATTTGTTTCAGTGGCACACATGAACATTAATACATAGAATGTTTGAACCAAAGGGTAAACGAAAACATTAAGAAGACTCCCACCACTTTAAGTAGCTTTTCTCATTACTAAAGAGGATTATTTAATTATTGAATATTAAATTCCTATTTTAACTTTTTCATTGCACAAGCAATAGTAAGTCAAACTTTCACTTTTAAATGGTTTCCTACTGCTTCTATTTCTTTTAGTGAAATGGAATTTACGAAGATAATTCCTTAACATGTATATCCAGAAATGTTTCAAGAGAAATACCACCATTTAGTCCAGGCACATTTTCCTAGACTGAACAGTCTAACAAAATAAGAGACTGCACATTCTCCTCTGTGCAGTTTGAAAAGAATCAAGAGAGATGAATGACACTGAATTCAGGTATTTCTGAAGTTACAGTTTTTCACTGATTTCTTTCTCATCTGCTAAGATTTATGAGTTTGACACAGACTATCAGATGCAAAGTTACCCAATTACAACAATTTGACAGAACCACAAAATTCTAAACCACTAAATTGTTCTATGTTCCCAAGGTTCAAACAGCAGTATGTCAAATATGAAGGTAAAATACCTAATATTTCTTTTGCTTCAGGCATAAAATACTTATTGCATACTATCATCATTTCTTGTAATTCTGTGCAAATTATTGTAAGTTGATTATATTGTATAGATAATTTAAAATATAATTCTAATTTACGTATATAGATATGTATAGTATATAATATAAAGACAGTATATAAGTACATGTACATTAAATATATATTGTTATCTACCTCTAATGACTAGGGCACACAGTAATGTAAAGGAAATGTCCATTACAAAGAACATAGGATGTTCCTTGTCTGTTTTTTCTAAATAGTGCAGAGCGACATTCTGTCAGAAGCAGAACAGAACCTCAACATTTGACTAATAAAAAGTTATTCCTCAATACTCCCACCAAGTATGAGACTCTTAAATTAGAATTAGTGTATTGTAATTACAGCAATATATATAACCATGACAGAACAGTGAAGGCAAAGAGGCAAGAAGAGCACAAATGCCTCTCGTTACACTATATCAAGGGACCAAGCTGGACACAAATGCTCTAGTATATGCATATCGAGGGACCAAGCCAAGCTAATCTGAGTCTGCTGTGAAGGTCAAGAGACAAAAGCACAAAAGAGACATTTTAAGAAAACAACTTTCTCGGAGGTAATTAAATTACATTTCAAATCAGACCACAGTATGAATGTTTTCCTTGCTAAAGAATTATAAACCAGAACAAGCAGGAAATATCATAGAAGTCCCATTATAGTCTGAATCATGGAAAGGCAAGTGCTGATGACAGTTGTGAGCAGTTACCTCAGACAACATAAACAGACATATGGTATTTGTTTTTAAAGCAAGTAGCATAGAATGATTTTCAGGATGATATGGGAGATCATGTTTACATAAGCATTCACATGATGGAAACAACTCAATACAAATAAAAGGGGAATAAAACCCCTCTAGTATAAACAGTTCTGTTGAAGAAAAAAACAGATTCACTCTGAGGTTAGCTGATATTTGTTTTGCATCCCAGCTATCCCCAATGATTAGTAATTGTCTTCATTGGGTACAGTGTTAGGGACTGAGAATGTTGCTATTAAATATACAAATCAGACATTGTGACATGCTACAACAGAACAATGCAAATTTTAACATAATTAAGCTTTGTGTATTTTTCATATCTGTCTTTGTGTATTTTCAGAAAATAATGCTTTAGTGCAATGGGCCTGTTTATGCTCCAACTTGTGAAAGTACCATTTCAATTCAGTCATACTGTGTGCTGCCACAGATACTAGGTCATGTTCTGACCACTCAATTCCATCCTCTCAGCTCTGGCAAACTCAGAGAACAACTGAGACAATCTGTCCTCAAGCATCATGCATATGCATCATTCTTACATTCAATTACATCTTTTAGAGCACAATCTTCACTTGGTCTTTGAAAAGGCAATTCAGCTTTCTGATGTCAATTAAACAAAGGGTAGGATGCCAAGCAAACAACTCTGAAGCCCTCCAAACATCTGCTTACATGTACTTTCTTCCTCTTTCAGAATTAGCTGTCAGAATCACACAAGATATAGACTCACAAGGACATTGCTATGATCCACACATGATCTACAGGACAAGAGGCATGCCTCTTAAATGCTCTGAATCACTGCCTACCTCTCTCATCTGCAATCTAGACATCCAATTTCAGCAGCAGAAATTGCATCTCCTTAGTCATCCCTAGCCAATTACTTTTCAGGCACCCTCTCAAGAAAGGTAGATTCTGACATGATATAAGTGGTCATTACTCTTTTTATATAGTATGGACCAAGTCAAGATGCACTGAATTGGGGAATGTGCAAAAACAAGGAGAGTATTTCTAACAGTATTATGTCATTTGTTGCATAAGTTGGAAGGTATGCAGTGAATAAGATATGCAGGATACTGCAGGAATGGAAAAATATGTAGCAGCGAAGGCAGTTAAATACTTCCTTGGAAGAACAAAATACTCTCCTCCTTCTGCAATTGAGATTTCTAAGAAAATAACTTAAGTAATCTTTTTCTTACATAGTAACATATTTTCACCTCTGAATTATCCTGTGATACTTCGATTATGTTATTACCAATCACCCTTTCCTCTTTTTAATACTGGTTTTTACAGCATTAACAGTGTGATGAAGCCATGGCACTGGCATCAGTCTGCCTTCTGGGGCTCACATGACCTGCTAAAGCTAAGTAAATACATCCTTTCAAATGATCTTAATGTGTTGACAAATGTTTGCATCCACACCCTGACTTTTCTCAAACATACTCATTACCTGAAATAATTCAGTCTCCCTCCCTCAGATCAAATATGAAATCTGTGTACCACAGAGCTACTGCCAAATGCAGTTCTAAGTATAGCCCCAGTTTGCAAAACAGCTTATGATCCAAACTACACTGCAAATTAGACTCAGAACACAGTGTCTTTAACTAGGTCTTGTAAGATGGTGGTTGTTGGGATAGCTGCATTTGTTAGCACAGACAGGGCCAAATTTCTTACTATTTCACTGGAAACCTGTTTTTTTTTTTTTTTTTCCAAAGAATTTCCATTGAAGGCAATACTGAAAATAGTGGTACCACCTGCAAGGTCAGGGACCCACAGCCAGACTCATAGGAACATCAAGGAGGGAAAAAACCAAGGGAGCTGCAATAAAGAGCAGTAAAATCCACCAACTAATTTCCATGGGAAAATAATGATACCCCATCTCCTGGATGATTTACATTCAGATCAGGTGACAACCACCATGAAGCTATTTCTTTATGCCAGGAGGCTGTTTTCCTGCAGTCCACATCTCCCTGCATGGAACCCTGTACATAGAAGTATGAACTCCACACTACCGTTTTTGTTTTTAAAGCCAAACAAAATGATAACCAGAGTTTTCTAAGAAGATATAATTGATCTCTTCAGTTCTAATATTTGAAGATTATGTCTCCAAATGCAGGTAAAGTTATTTTTTAATTTGTTCAGATCCATTTTTTAAAATTATACAGACAACTTCACAACAAAAATATTACAGACAGATCCCTAGGGCTGTAAGTTGCAATATTTATGGCTTAGGTGATATTTCCTTGTAAAATACATTAAATTTGCAGAAAGCTACAGAGTGACACAGATCTTACTTCAAGACGTGTTCCCATAACTCAGTTCAATTGCATATAACAAATAGACTTCCACAAATATACTGTCAGTATTTGGTAGATGTGAATAAAACATGCACATCTATGGAAGTTTTGACTTACGCATACCATCACCTTAAACAAGAAACATCATTTCCTGATTACTTCGGGAAAATTATGACAGCTTCATACTTGCGAATCAATAGAAATCTCACCTACCCAAATCAGATTTTGCCCTCTCTAGTACCAACTGATTCACACCATGACTGACAAACAAGGTGCTATGGTGAAGCTTCCCTTCAGTACCCCAATACCAGCTGAAGTCAACAAGGTTATCTAGCCCCTTCTGGCCCTCAGATGGATGTTATCAGTCCCTCCTTCTGGCCAAAAACAAGGACAGTTTAATCTATGCAACTTTTAGCAGGCTCTTTCCTCTGCTGTTCTTGATCATGTCAGATACTAGCACTACACAACCTACAAATTCCCTATAGAGTTTCCCTCCCTACTATCTAACTTCAATTATCTTTGGTGCAACTTAAGCCATTTAACTCCTGTTTTTGCTGCAGACATAAAGGGGTTATTCCCTTACTCTCTTTTAATGTATTTGATGACCATATCTTTCATTCCACCAAACTTTCTCTTTCTTACCCAAGGAGCAGTTTCCCTCTCAAAACATAAGAACTCTACCCTGTACAGAAAGTTAATACTGATGCCACAAACAGAAGGCCTGAATTTATCTCAGGTTTATTAACATCAACAAGGGTGTCGGTATTCCTTGGCTTAAGATGACTTTCTTTAGCTGTACATAATACAAACGTATCAATGACTAACAGATTCATAGCTGATTCTTTTCTTTCTTAGTTCATACTTTTTGTTGAAAAGGTGTTCCAACTGACCATTATATCATTTGCTATAATAAAGTAGTAAAAGCATAAATTCAGAGTAAGAGAAAGTTAGGGAACACATTAATCTTACTTATGTTAGCTACCTGTAAAGCTTTTATTACTTAACATTCACACAAGATACTCAGCTCCCTGTTTCAGGTATTTAAGTCAGATATCACACTCAGGATTTTAGGTGGTTTCCACTCCTAATATGTTCACAATGGTTACCAGAGAGACAGAGTGTAGTCTACCACAGCTTCCCGTGACCTAAAGTAGAAGCTGTCCCAGATCAAATTTAAGCTTATTTTCCAGTGGGTAGTCTTTCAGACCACAAAAACTATCACCATTCACAGACTGCTGCTGTGCAGGTTCAGCGTCCAGGGTTTTAAAATTTCATAACATTTACCCTTCATAAAAACAATTTATACAGTATACTCAATGTAAACCTGTATACTAATGCTTACAAAAATCAAATATTAGGGTTAAGATTTCCAGAGCAACACGAAGCCCTGTTCTCTTCTAGTTATGTGTTACAAGGTGCTCTTTCAATCTTATAGCACTGAAAAATGTGACAGACCACTTGGCAAATGAGATATGACACTGAGTATCTTGCACCCTTCCAATCCGTGAAGAATAGTTTTAATTTGGAAATTTTATTACATCCAGCATTCCACACATAAGATAATAACTTGTCAAGATGTTAAAATTCCTTACTCCATATACACTGTATTGTGTATTTCTTGCACATATAATGTGCTGCATATTCCCTGACAAAAACATGACAGAAGTCTATAAAAATAAAAAACGGGAAATGAAAGAGTAATGAGATAAAATTTAACACATCATTTAATGAGAAAGATCAAATAAAAAAAACTTGGTTCTTTACATCAACCAAGCTAAGAAACTCACTTTTATAGGATACTATGAAGATTTCAAAGGTCCACAGCTTCAGAGACTGAAGCTACTAGACACAGGCATCATCCCTGTCTCAGGAACTCGTCCAGTCTCTACCACCTCAGAAAATATATGCATTATCATTGTTAAATCCTGTTATCTCTACATTGTGTTGGGATGACTGACAACATCCAAATTTAAGTAAAGGGAAAAAATTACTTAGTACTTCTATTGCGCCTAGGAATATAATCAGAATTAAAGAAAGCAAAGTGCAATCAGAAAATTCTAAAAATCTTTAATATAAAATCATCATATATTATAGGCTACAATATATAGTACATATTCATGACTATGCACTTATGTACTATATATTAACCTGCATATGTAATTTCATTCATAATCACACTTGTAAAATGTAATTCTGTATCACTATAAATAGGAATTAATCATTTTACCTTTAATTTCATGGAATTACCATGTTTTGTGGCATAATGCTGTCAAAGTTCAAATAAAATAGTTATAGTGTAACTTCCATAGAAAACTTCTATTTTACTACATTACAAGATTTAGTAGTGAATAGTTCATCTCAATCATCTGCACTGTATTTTTTCCACAAAAAAGTTTCATTTCTTTTCCAAAGAGAACTTTCACACACTTCTCTCTCCCCTGTCACTGTGGAATGAGGGACTCTTTCACAAAGCTTCTCTATGACTGTTATATCTGTGAGCTTTCTCAGGCTCTCCTCATTCTGTTCATTCAGCATATCCCAGAAATCTTTTGGTCTCCCCTTTGATTTTTCTGCTTGTCCTGAAGAGAATCTCCTTGGTGATCCTGTAGATACCTTTCCATCATTTCTGAATATTTCATCAAGAATAGAGGTATCTCCAAGTAAGTCCATAAAAGAATTTTTCTTGCAAATCTGAGCTTTTCTCTCTACATTTTCTGACTGAGACAGGGATCTTTTTTTTGGCAGCTGTGCTCCTTCTGAGTCTTGCTGTCCTTCACAACTTTTTACAGGCAGCACCTCAATTATTTCTGATTTACTGCTTAATGAGCCAGATGCCATAAAATCCTTGAATGCCTGACTGTTTCTTCTTTGGTTATGTTGAGTAGCAACACTGGGTGATTGTTTATATTTTGCATCAACAAACATATCTTGCAAGTAGGAGTCCTTGTGAAGCTGTTCTGCTTCTCCTTTATGGCTCTCCTGGGTCTGCGTTTCTGTAGTTCCACTCAAAAGTAGTCTGTTAGCTGATGAAGGTCTAGACTTAGATCGTCCAAAATTAACAATGGATTTTCTTTTTCTGGAGTGTGTTGTACCAAATTTTCTTTCCTCACAGTTATGTGAAGTTTCTGTAGGTATTTCAAGTGAAAAGAAAGATTCCATGTCTGGATGCTTGGAAACATAGAAGTCCTTCAACATCTTCTGCCTGGTTTCTGATGTAGCTTTTACAATATGTTCTGCAAGGTCTTTTACTGATTTCACATTAAAGTGGGATACCATTTCCTCAAATTGTCTCCTGTAATTATCAAGAAGGAAAAATGTGTTACCCTTAACTAGGGGGTGGGGGAAACGGGGAGGATACAGTTCCAAGTCCTTTTAAAGAAGAGTTGCTAAACAAAAATTGGATAAATGCATGCACAGGAGACAAGCATTGTCCACGCCATCCTACCCAGTGAGTTACAGAATATTTTTTTCTGCTAAAAAGCCAAGCTCTAATTAAAATAGATCACTCTGGTTGAGTTAGCCCTAGTCTGAGGTCAGGGAACTTTACCGGAAGGCTGGAGAGGTAGGTTTACAATCTCATGCTGGAGAAAGGATATGAAACATGTAGCTTTTCATGTATGAGGGCTCCAAAAGGCAGCAAGATTTAACCCTGTTTGCCTCAAATACCACTTGATTGGCTAGCTCCAATTATTTGAGTGTGGTGACTGCAGTTGGCTTCCCACTCTGCCCTGCAATTACAACAAACTGAGGCATATAATCATCCTCATTCACTCTGGCACGTCCACATGTACTACAAAGTCTAACTGCATGCCAGGTGCTAACAGATAACCTGCTCAATGCTCAAGAGTGAATTGTTTTAAGCTTTTTATTAGGTATGACTTTAGGATCTTGGAATAACAGCCTTAGTTACTTCACTGGCTTTGAAAATATTACCTCAGTAAATTTTTCATAAGTAATTATGATTTTGAACATTTTTAGAATGAAGAGTTCCCCTTCACCTGCCTCACAAATATTTGTATTTTCCCGTGTCTATAACAGTAAACAAACCTGACAATTACTGGCACTTTAACAATAACAGCATGGGTAACTGAGGCCAGCTAGACGATATGAAAACTTCTGGATGCTTACAGGCATTACCTAGATACCAACTTTCATAAAGTAATTTACTTGTCTCAAGGCGAATTGAAAATATATACCAAATACTTATTCTGTACCTTTGCCTAGCTAGCTACAGCCTTCCAGTTTCTATTTCCACAAACCACCAAGCTATTTTTCTTGAACCTCTATCTACATAACAAAAGAGTTTAATATTCATACTATTAATAGCAATAATTTAGGAAAAAGGAAATCAAGGAAAAAAAATTATTATCCCTCCAAAAATAACAGGGGTGAGGAGGGGAGGGGGGGAAGCCTTAAAAGAGATATAGAAAAATATTGAGCAGTACGCTGAAAAAGAAACATGAAGCCCAGCTTTTTTAACCACCATTCAGTGAAAGTGATGACATCTGGGCAAAATCAGTAGGCTTTTAGAAGATAACATTATAAAATGCTCTATACAGTTTAAACACTGTTTTGTGGTAGCCCATGATGCACATACTACAAACACTCATGGTGATGACTTCTACACAGTTATGTAATATATGACCATTGAATCAACATGTTTAAGTGATTTTTAGGTTCAATTAATTTTATTAATCAATTACAGTACTCATATTGTAGAGCGAGTCAAAGTTTCCCACTACTTTCACTCTTGCCATAGAATATAACAGTATTCCCTGAGTTGGGTCAAAACAAAGACAAATGCAACTACTGAAAGTTAAGTTTGTTTCAACGTTAAAATTTTACTTCCAAATCACCAAAAAAATCTCACCTGCGTATTCCTTTGGGTGTCTTTCCAATTAAGAAGGTGGTTGAACCTACTCTGTGTACTTTTTTGCTTCTCTGGGTCACAGGATGTATAACATACAGATGATGCTGCTTACTGTTTGTCAACACTTCTTGCCTTTCCTTAACGATTTTCTTCTCTGAAATATTGTCTTCTGGGACTTCATAATTTTTCTAGTAAAATAAGACATTGAAATCATTAGAACAGCTGTGCCTCTGAGGTAATAATGCACCCAACTGCTTCCAATTCTGTCCCTTGTAACTAGTATTACCGGGGTATTGATTGAACACTAGGACTGGGATTCAGAGCTGAAATGCAGATTCCCTTTTCAGTTGCAAAGTTCGAGGGACTTGAAGGGAAGTCTTGGTTCTCTGACATCTTGCACTAAAATATGATCCTCTTTAAACCCGAGTTATTTTTCTGAAATTCTCACGAATTCTCATAAAAATTTCCCCTTTGCCAAAACATAGCTACCTAGTGATATCCTCAGTCTTCCTACTAACACTGCTTCAGAGATGAAATCACAAATTGCATTCACACCTTATCATGTGCCGTTCAAAATTTGGTTTCAGATCTACACTGTTTCTTCCCAATGCTCTTCTACTTGATCCATATCTATTTCCTTTATTTTCATTGACTGTGCACAATGTTCTTGAGCTTTAGGATCTCACATGTGTTCTGACTTCACTACTTTGGTAAATAACCTCCAACTAGCATACAGAGAGACATGCTAATATTACAGAACTTACAGGAATAAATTTTCACTTTAATGTGAAAATGCACAGCTCCAAAGATTAAAATTTTACTTCACCATTTTTCACCATGTATTACTCTACACAATACTGAAACCCCACCCCAAGCAAAATAAAAACCCTATTCTCCCAATAATAGTGTAATTTTAGTAAAAAAAAAAATTTAATTAGTAGATGTAGATTGTAGATTACCTACAGCATAAATATTGTACAGTTCTCTTGCTGGTTCTGTATACATTTGTTAACTTTCTTATTACTTTTTCTTTTAAATATGCATGGGTAATACAGGATTTTACTCGGAAAAAGAGGAAAGCAATCATAGTTAAAAAAAAAATTTACTTTTATAGATTTTTTGCATGAAAAATAGTATTCCAATCGCACTATGGTAAGAGCCTATTTTTCACTCTGTTAGGAAATCATGCCTATATAATTTAATTCAAGAAAGTATCATTTGAATAGAATACAAGACTAACCATGTCAATGCCTGTCTTAAAGTTATGTTAAACCTCCTTCAATGTGCATCAATCTATCTCTCATTAAACAAGACCAAAGTATAAGAGGCAATACTTTGTATTATTTTTATACTATATATTATTTTAAGACCAAAATTCCAAATCTAATACAGGTAATACTTTGGTTTATACATTTGTTCAAATACAGAAGATTTTTAATATCTTTGGAAAAAAGCCAAATGCTGTAAACACACTGAAAGTAATAAAATTGCTTGTCTTTGCAGGAAACCACATTTAATGTTAGAAGTATTGCTAATTGCATATAAATGCACAAAAAGCCATACTTAGTTCTGGAAGCATAAAATTTTGGGTACACTGCACCACCCAGAAAAACAACACAAAAATACCACCAAATACATTCAAAGAGCATTTCTTCTTCTACTTAAATGAGTTGTTTAAAGGTGAGGCTTCTTTCTCATGACAAAAAATGTTACTGTTGATGACTTAAGTTTTAGCTTTCATGTTTTTCATGTTCTGTGCTCCCGAGGTGTATAGTTTTGAGTCTCATATTAAGTGTTAGTGAGCTCTTTTTACAGAGTAGGTAAACAAAACAATTCCTTTTCCAGCTTTATACCAAGGATAATTGTTACAAGTTTCAGGCCCAAAAGCATAACCAGTGGTGGACTGAAGAGAGAAAACAAGAAGGATGGGGCTTCATAACCTGAAGCTGTGATTGCACAATTAACCCTGATATGCAGAATAACCAAAACTTATAAGAAGGTGAGACCTCATGGCCAGTCATCCCTTTTGTGATCATTTTAGGTCCATCTTGGGTGTAGCCCTGGCCTGGCGCTTGTACTGCCCAAGGCGTGTCCTTTAAGGCCTTTCGGTAAATAACTACTTCATTCTTAACTCTGTCTAGCCTCTGTTCTAGGTCAGCCTTCTCAAGGAATCACTGTAGAAAAAGTTATTGCAAGAACTACAGGAGCTAATTCCAGTGAAAATCTACAGCCATTGCAAGTTACTCCTGAAAAACTTCCCAGCTCCCCAGAGCAAAGGCAACTGGTTACATGATACACAGGCTAAAACACAACAAAGGACTCCACTGAACCGGTGAATGCTTTAGAAAGCCCAGCACCCAGTGCCTAAATCCAGGAACTTATTTTTTTAAAGAATAAACATTTTTTTAATAAACCTAAAACACTTGGGTTTTTTTAGATGTCTCCATGTTAAAGGTCAAATGTGATGTTTATTACTCTGAATGATACAATGGGTGACAGGGTCTGTGTACAAGTAAAATCTACAAAGTGAGATTAAAATATTCTATCTTTCTACTAGCATTACAAAAAAATGAAAACTTCAGTCAATATTCCAGTACTGTCAACATTCTGCACTATTTTGCTTTCTTTTGAATTTGACTTCCTGTATTGCTCTTCTAAATTAATTCCTCTCATGGCCAGTATCTTTCCAATTATCTTTCAATATTTGCCCTCTAAATCACTGTAAATAAAATTTACAATAAAAATCTATAATTATAAATAATATATAAAAATTAATAAAAATAAAAATTTTAATAATAATTAAAATAAAATATTTAATAACATTATTTTTATAAAATAAAATTATTAAATTTTATTTTATAATAGAAATTATAAATTTTTATTTATAATAAAATTATAAATATAATAAAAATAAAATAATATAAATAAAAAATTATTTTCAACAGCTTTCTTAATTTTTCTCAAAGCCCTGTCACAGACAAATTACCGTGTCCACACTCCTTGCTTCTACATGAAATGCCATGTTGACTGCATAATGCTGGTCATGTTTGCACAAATTATCTATCACACTCATCACATGCATAAGACAACCTCACAAAGCATGACTGAAATTAAGAAAACTTGATTCAGCTAGAAGCCTCTGACTCTTGTTCTTCTACAGACACTAGCACATTTAATCTGTTTATATTATTGAATGTCACACTCTGTATCACATTCAATATGTCCTATTTGGATACTGTATGATAGAATAATAAAAGAAACAAAAATCTTTCACTGTAAGCTATAGCATACAGTGTCTGCTGTATATTACAAATATTTACAGAGAGAATGACAGTAATCAGGAAAGTCTTTACTAAATATTTAAATACAGTGAACACAATAGGCCTTTGCAGTGCATTTTATAAAATTTCTAATAATCAAATTTCTAATCATCAAAAATCAAAGTGGAGAAGTTTCATTTAAACTTGACCAATACTTGTTGGCCATCTGAAAAATTATGTTTTTCTATACTGAATTATCTTCAACACTATTATACATTTCTGTTTTCACAAACTTGGCGGAGAAGGGTAGGAGATGCAGCAAAATAATTACATTGACACCAAAGATAAAATATTTTGACTGTATTACTGAATGCAATACAGTAATTGTATTGACTTTAATACAATTTCTTAAATTTTTAAGAAAATTTCTTTATTAAGAAATTTTCTTAAACTTTGTGCACTTCCATTATATCAAGAAAACTTTCACAGCAAGTTCAAAAGAAATACACACTTTAAGGCATACACATAAGATAAAGACCATACAAGTAGTTTAGCAGAAGGCAATGGTTTTTAATTGACGAATTTAAACGAGAAAAAGCTGCACTCCAGAAAAATCCCACTAAATGCAAACAAAAAGTTAATTGAAAGTACAATAAAATTAAATTACAAAGTTTGAACTATGGAAAAACCCACAAAATTGTAGCCAGTTCTTCCTGTCTTATCCTTTTTTTCTTCTCTTATTCTCCCCTAATCTACCACACGTACTCTTAGGAATCTTTTCATACACTGCAATGGGAAAGAACACAGATAAGTAGTTGTGCATAAAATGGTTTCTACAGTATTCAGAAAATCCAGGGATTCTTACTACAACTGAAAAACATCTCAAAGAAAGCATTTACTGACACCTTTCATTTAGGCTATGTAGTTTCAATCCCTTCTTCTTTCATTATATAGTTCTCTTACTCTTGAAAATATATATTGAGTTTTGGATACCAACAATGAGTTTTGATTTCTTTCAATTATATATTACCTAAGAGGATGCAGCAATCAAGAGTCTAGCAAAAATACTAGACCATGTGTGCACATTTAGTGTCACACAATCCCTTTACGGGTAACACTCTTCAAGAAGAATGAACAAGCAAAGGCATCAAGCAAAAATTAAGGTGTTACAACACAGCAGGAATTTCTACTTCAATCTACAACTTTGTGAATTTCTACTTAATCTACAACTCTTGGATCTGTTAGCTCTGTATGGCAATCTGTCTCCTGCTGCCTAGTTATAGCAGTTATTTAAAAACAATATACATCTAGCAAACCCCATTTTTGTCTATCTTTGACAGTACAAAACTTCTGTCCTTCTTGTATCAGGCATAAAGAGGCAGCTCTATACTCTGGAGCAATGAATGCTAGTGTGTGTATATGCATCATCAGACATGACTGAGATGACTGAACACTTTAAGCCAGTAACTTCCGTTTCTTATAGTCCATTCAAGCAAGGCAAAGGACAATGTTTCACTTTTTAAAATACAGCAAGATGAAAAGGTACGGCAGAGTAAGTGACCAGAAGCTGGGAACAGGATGAGTAGAGAAGAAAGAATCTCTGAGAGATTCAGGGATACTTGTTTTTCAAGCTGCCTCATATCTGTGGCAATTCGATAAGAAACTGGAATAACCAGAGAATAATGAACGTCTTTCAAAAGCCTGAATCTGAAGCTGAAACTGGATGGCCGGGCCCAGAGAGTGGTGGTGAATGGTGCTGTATCCAGCTGGGGGCTGGGCACCAGTGCTGTCCCTCAGGGGTCTGAGCTGTGGCCAGTTCTGATCAATATTTTTATTAACAACATGGATGAGGGAATTGAGTCCTCCATTAGTAAATTTGCAGAGGACGCTACACTGGGAGCATGTGTTGATCTGTTGGAAGGGAGGAGGGCTCTGCACAGCCCTGGAACAGTTGGATGGATGTGCAGAGTCCAATGGGATGACATTTAATAGGTCCAAGTGCCAGGTGCTACATTTTGGCCACAATAACCCCCTGCAGTCCCCACAGGCTGGGGACGCTGTGGCTGGACAGTGCCCAGGCAGAAAGGGACCTGGGGGTACTGGGGACAGCCAGCTGGACATGAGCCAGCAGTGTGCCCTGGTGGCCAAGAAGGCCAATGGCATCCTGGCCTGTACCAGGACTGGTGTGGCCAGCAGGAGCAGGGAGGTCATTCTCCCCCTGAACTGGGCACTGGTGAGGCTGTGTGGTGAGGCACCTCGAGTGCCGTGTCCAGTTCTGGGCCCTCAGTTTGGGAAGGACGTTGAGACGCTTGAGTGCGTCCAGAGGAGGCAACGAGGCTGGTGAGGGGCTTGGAACACAAGTTCTGTGGGGAATGGCTGAGGGACCTGGGATTGTTTAGCCTGGAGAAAAGGAGACTCAGGAGTGACCTCATCCCTCTCTACAACTTCCTGAAAGGTGTTTGCAGTCAGGTGGGGGTTGGTCTCTTTCTCCAGGCAGCAACTGACAGAACAAGAGGACACCATCTCAAGCTGTACCAAGGGAAATATAGGCTGGATATTAGGAGAAAGTTTTTTATGGAAGGAGTGATAAAATACTGGAATGGTCTGCCCAGGGAGGTGGTGGAGTCGCCATCCCTGAATATATTTAAAACAAGATTGGATGTGTCACTCAGTGCCATGGTTTAGTTGAGATGTTAGGGTTGGGTTGGACTCAATAATCTTGAATGTCTTTTCCAACCTAGTGATTCTGTGATTTATTATGGATCCAAATTACTTCTCTAAAATATTTTGCCAACATCAAGAGACCAGGAAAATTAAAGCTGATAAAATTACATTAATTTTAGTGGAATATGCATTTTCCCATGTATGTCGCATGTAGCTTTACTGCATAAACAAACTGAGACAAGGACTTTCCATAAACTCTAATCTTTTGCTTGGTACTGGAGAATTGACTACTATATCACTTGAGAACAGACTGAATCCTTTCTATTTCACATTTACTTCTGAGTCTGTTTCTTCTACAATCAGGTAACAGAGCAAGAATTTTTCATTAGGAGCAATCTTACTAAAGCTTTTGAACCTTTACCTGAAGTAACTCCTGCAAGACATACCATTGTTTTTCACCAAAAAGCTGACCTTGAAACAATAGTTATTACCACTGGTGAGAATGAGAGAAGATACTCAGTCTATCCAAGAACTCAAAGCTTAAGGTAATTACTTGTTCCAGCAGAAGCTGTGGACTTGCACCCATCTTCCTTCATCCTCTCATCCTTTTGTCAAAAGAGCAACAAAACCAAAGGTGATGCACATACGTCATAATGAAAACTCCACTACAAGCTTAAAAGAATGCCACATATTACCCACTGCATTATGAAAACACAGCCAAAAGCATAATAGTGGAATGGCTAATTCCATTGTAAACTGAACCAGTAAACTCAACAAAGCAGTATTACAGGCAAATCATTTGGGAAAAATTACTTTAAAGCTGAATACTTCCCATCCTAGAAGAGTGAGGACAAAGGCATGCTATCTCCCAAAAGCCTACTCTTTGTAAACAACTATCTAAACTTGTTGCATCTGAAAGCTGTGCAAACACACTGCAATCAGAGTTCCTTGATAGAAAGTCTTTGTTTAAATAATCTACAAAATGACAGTGTAATACAAATAAGATAAAGCAGAGTTCTTAATGACACAACTTTTGTATTTACAGTATTTTCAACAGTACTTAAATCTGCATTGGAGATACAAAGGGCATGTTTCTTCCTAGGCTGACAGCATGCTTAGTTTTCTCATTTACACCACATTGCAATAACATAAAGAGGGGTTTACCATTAATCCAGGTTTTACTACAAAGCATCTCGTTATTTCTCTGTCAAACACTGGCAATAGTGCCAAATGTCTGTCATCCAATTCAGGGGATTAAGCCTTCCTTTATAGTGCAATTCTTGTACAAATTTATAAAAATACAGATAAAGTTTCTTAGAGCTGGTCACAGTCTATATTTTGGCCTGAATTCATGCCGCAGAGGTTGAATATGACAGCTGGCAGGAAGCTGAGGGGAGAATACATCCTCCCCCTTTTCAGTCACCACATTTCTGTTGCCATAGTGATTAATCCTCAATTGAATGGCTGTCTTTGTACATTTCTTTTCAGTAAAACTTAAAGTAAACTTAAGTTGAAAACATGCAGTTGACAGAAAAAAAAACCCCTCAACTTTAGATATTAAGCAGGTATAGTACAAGTTCTTGTGACTAATACTTTTCCACATATTAAAAAGTACAAATTCATTCTAACATGGGACATCATTGGATTTTCAAATTACGTAGTATGTCCTGTTCCCATCTTCCACCTTTTTTGTGAAACCTCCAAGCCTTCTCTAAAGACTTCCTCACGCTCACACAGCTCCCCCTCCACACCCTAGATTCCTGTTGAAGATACACTACATAAATTCAGCTGTATAGGAACTAGAGAAAGACTATCCCAGACTTCCATACTGTGCAAAACATAACATAAATGTAACATAAGCTGGTTTTGCCTATTAAGACAAAAATTATTTAGGAAATTAATTAAGAAATGCAGTCATTTAATTCAGAATGGACTAGAAACATTAGAAGAAAATATTTAAATCTTGCCTCTGGGAGGCTTCTCTTTCTTATGGTAGCTAAGAAAAAGCTTCACAAATAAAAGTTTCAGTGCAAGTTACCAAAAAACCTAAGGAAGGAAAAAGCTTCTGCACTGAAAATCAGGCTGCTTTGGAACCTGGAGTCCAGCAGGAAAAAAAAACACCACGAAAATCAAAACCTCTAAAAATACTTAGTAGATGACTAAGGCCTTACAGAGTTTGCTAACACTTCCATTTTTTCCCCAAAATTAATGTCAGAATAATTTTGAGCAAAATATCACATGAATTACTCAATACTTTTTTCCTCTCTGAAAGGCTGAAGTAAATGTAGGCCTGGTCTGAAAGCTACAGTCTGGCTTTGCATGTCCACCAAGTACAGTCTACAAGTTCATTTCATATGTTTGCTTTAAGAAGCTTTTTTTTTCCATATGATTCTTTCTGTGGTTACACAAGATAGTTCTTTTTGCTTTTCATCTATGTTCTTAACATATAGTGATAATAGAGCCAGCAATCTTCCATTTGCTTAATGAAAACACAATGTTCATAAAGTCTATTTGCACAAGACTTGAATTTCAACTCAAGTGTAGAACACAGATTGTTTCATGTCATCAAATCATGCTAAACCCAACAAAAAAATCCCAGAAAAAAACAAGTCATTTATTCCAGTAGATTAACTTGCAATATAATCTTCCTCCCTCACACTTGAATATAGTAGATTGGAAAACCCATCCTGTGAATAACCTTGAGTGAAGCAGCACATCAAGTGTGTTATGTTGTCATGTAACAGCTCTCAACAATTTTTACTGGAGTGGCCACATACCACACTGAATGACATGCATTTTCTACCTCAAGATGTTTACAATACTATAGCCTTGTGTAATTCTCCCTGCATCATGGCATCACAAATAGAAATGAAACTCATGCTTTAACACTCATGACTTCTTAGCAAAGATTATGAGTAGCATGGGATATCAAACTGCACAGAGACACACCTGACTACTTTCTGTGACAATCAAGTTTCTAACTGTAAAGAAAGATGAGATGTACTATTAACGTATCATACAGTGTAATCCGTATGTCCATATCTGTTTCTCCGTATCTCCATATTTCCATATCTGTTTCTTCAGAAACAGCTGTCTACCACTTCTGCATGGAACAGAAATCCCTGGCTTTGTTTTGATTACCATGGCTCTAAACACCTCCAAGTACTGACATGTAAGTTTCTTCTACATAAGAATCACTCTCAGAAACATCAACTCTTCGAGGGCAGATTGTCATACTCTTCTTTGCTGCATCAAAAGAAGTGTGGCCACAGGTCAAGGCAGGTGATTCTGTCCCTCTGGTATTAGTGCTAAGGAAGGCCAAAATATTACTGGAGGGATGGAACACCTCTCCTATCAGGAAAGGCTGAGAGACTTGGGGTTATTTAAACTGGAGAAGATTCTGGAGACAACTTACCGTGACCCATTAGTACTTAACACGGGTCTGTAAAAAAGATGGAGAAAGGCTTTTTAGCAGGGCCTGGTTTTGATCTAGTTAAGACATAAGAAGGTTTTTTTACAGTGATGATCATAAAACACTGCAGCTGGTTGTCCAAAGGGGTGGTGGATGCCTGTGTTTGGTCTGACTGAAGTAAAGTTCACAGCCCTTACAGCGCTGTGCTTTGCATTGGTAGCTGAATGTGTGATGGTAACAGACCAGTGTTTTGGTTACTGCCAAGCAGCACTTTCCCTCTGACATTCCTTTCCCTATCAAATGGGATGGGAATGGGCAAGACCCTGTGAGGGGCCACAACCAGGCCAGCTAACCCAAATGAGCCAAAGAGCCAAAGCCATACCATACGACATCAGCTCAGATTTATAAGCTAAGGGAGACACAAGGAGAGGGGGGTACTCTGGAGTTTTCAATGTTTGCCTTCCAGAGGAACCATTTATGTGTGCTCTTTAGTTCTTGTGTGAGCAGAGCTCTGCTTGTTTTGTACTTCTGCTGTAATAAAACTGCTTTATCTCACCTTGCTGGTTGCTCTCCATCGTATTCTCTCACCTGTCCCACTGGGAAAGGGAGTGATAGAGTGACTGAGTGAGCACCTGGCACCTAGCCAGGGTCAACCACCACTATGCCCCATCCCTGGAAATATTCAAGGTCAGGTTGGATATGGATCTAAGCGAACTGATCTAGTTGAAAATGTCCCTGCCGATTGCAGGGAGTTTGAACTAGAAGAACTTTTAGGGTTGTATTCTATAGTTCTTACGTATTTTCTTCTCAAAATCTACAGCAATCCAATACTGACAGTTGTGGGCCATTGTTAGAATACAGATAATCTTCACACAAAGGATATCTGCACTCAATACAGGAACTATTGATATTGCAATATTTTTATTATAATTCTTATTCAAAGTATTCTACATCTAAGAGACATGCCATGTCTGTCAAGAAACACCAGTTAATCTTAGTCTTTTAAGTACCTCCCTCATCAAGCTTGCAAAATCAATTATAAATGAATCTCCACTGCTGTAGATGACTATTTATGAAAACCCATTCTGTAACAACTTGGCAATGTCTTTCTTCACTGAGAATGCTGCTTGAAATCACTTAACAGATAGAGCATCTTCTATTTTTATGTAATTCCATGAACTTCTGTGATAAAAGGAACATATTCCATAATTTGTTTTCCTTTCTTAAGGATCACATGATAAAATACCTTCCCACATGTGTTTGCTACTAATATTGTCAAACACAAACTTCCTTTAATTCAGGTGCTGGACAGGATTTATTTTGACTAATCAGATTATGGTTAATTCTCTTGCTCATACAGTTAGTGCGTAGTTTATACTGTTACATTTATTACTTCCGGATTTTATCTCACCTTTCACAGCTGCCAAGTTGTGAGAGAGACCTTTCACAGCTGCCAAGTTGTGAGAGAGGTATCATGCTGTCTTGTTTTTATTCCTTGATGGCATACTTTATATTCTGGTTGCCGCTACCAAACTGTGTTTTCCAGAGTCATATAGTACTTACAGAAATACAGACTAAACAGGCATCCAGTACTATAAATGTGAACATTCTAGCTAAAGTCAGTCTGAAAAATTCCTTTAAAAGAAAAATTCCTTTAAAACCATATATAGGCAATATAAGTGCACTCCCCATCAGCTCAGGGAAAAGAAGATTAAAAGGCTCTGCAGTCCTGAATCCAGGACTGTTACAGAACCTGGAGAACAAAACAAGGAAGAAAAAAGAAAGAGTAGCAAGATCTATTGCTCATAAGAAGTATCTTAAAGGTACAGAGCAATAGCAGATTAAAATAATATGTTCTACCTGTTCAGAGAAAAGGTAAGCTAGGATGGACAAATACTGGGCCAGGTAAAATTAAGGGTAGATTGAATACTTATTACTGGATAAAAAGTAAGCTTGATTGAAGCCTACAGCTTAAAAGGTTAAGAGACTTGGCGAAGAATTACACTAGTGCAAACTGCACAGATCTAACACTGGCCTTCTAAACTCACCAAGGTGAAATCTCGGGTAAGAAAAGATGTTCAAGTCTTACAGTTTTTTATAACCAATTTAAATACAAGTTTGATAGTAACTCATGTTCTTAGGATGTTCTACACACCTCCAGGTATCTTTTGAGGAACAAGACTTGCTTCTCCCCATGCAACCTCTCTCATTTTCAA